AGCCAGCATGCTGGCTGGGGGATTCTGGGAGTTGAAGTCCACACATCTTAAAGTTGCCAAGTTTGAAAAACACTGCTCTGGAAGGTCATTGCTCCATTCAAACCTTACTTTCTTACATTTCTGCCCAAGCTAAAGCATTTTACTTTTGTTTTCCCACCCCTACTCACAGTACTGCAAAGCTTTCCTTTCTTTTTTTTCTCAAATCTAAATCCACATGTTCGAATAAAGCTATAACGTTTCAAAGAAGGTTACTTTTGCTTCTATGAAGCTGAGCCATCAGTTCTTCCTTGCAACGAAGTTTGCATGGACCTACGGTGGCAGGTAGGAACGAAAAGACAACCTGTTCCCTTGCTTTGATTACTGAAGCCTCAGCACACCGATGGTACAATACAGGGAAAAAAAGAAAACAGAAGGACCTTTGTTGGTGCCAAAGGAAGGGAAAGCCATCCATGTGTGCAAACATCTGGGAATGCAAGGGCAGGGAGACTAGTGGGGAAGGAACCATCTCTAGAAGAAAAAGGCAGGCCGTGGGGCTAACCGAGAGGGCTGTTGTCCCTGCACAGATGGGAGGGACAAGAGGCAGGGGAAGAACCAATCAGGTCCTGTGGCGGCCATAGCCCTGACTGAACACCGATCCAACTGCATGCTGGCCTGAAACATTTCCAAGAGGTTCAGAAACAGCTGGGAGTTGCATAGGAGACAAGCAGCTTAGGCTGCAACTGGGAATTACCTTTGCTCACAAAGGCCCGGATAATCCACATTTTAACTGCACCACATCAGTTCACCCAGAAGCCCTGGGGTGTGTAATTGTTGAGGAAGATGAAAGCTTTCTGACAAATTGCTCTCAGCATCCTCCCCAGATCTAAATGTCTGGCAGCCCATTGAAATCCTTTGTGGATTCTGAATAATACTCTGAATCTGCTGTTCAGATATATTTCTGAGACTACATTACTAACTGGGTAGCAATGGAATACATTACCTTCAAGATCTCCTGACTATTCTCTATGCCGTGTTCTTGCCAAGCATCAAGAATTCGTTCCACAGCAGCGTAACCCATTCCATCATCCAGGCTGGAAAATACACGGAAGCTGATTGTACTTGTCATTGCTGATGGAGGGGTGGTACGTCTCCCGCTTTCATCAAAGGCCTGGAAGGTGGGGGGGGGGGAAGAGAGAGAGAGAGAGAGTTGTGTTTTGCTCCAGCCCAGTGTTTCTCAACCTTCTCAAGTTTAAGATGTGTGGACTGAGAGAGAGAGTTGTGTTTTGCTCCAGCCCAGTGTTTCTCAACCTTCTCAAGTTTAAGATGTGTGGACTGAGAGAGAGAGTTGTGTTTTGCTCCAGCCCAGTGTTTCTCAACCTTCTCAAGTTTAAGATGTGTGGACTTCAACTCCCAGAATTCCCTAGCATCGCTGGCTGGGGAATTCTGGGAATTGAAGTCCACACATCTTAAACTTGCTGAGGTTGAGAAACACTGCTCCAGCCTATAAACTGTGCCCCCTGAAAAAAAAATCATGTCAGGAAGTTGATTAATTTGGAATCTTTCATCTTGATGTGCTTGATTTCTAGAGGAAGATAAGTATTTCCATTTGAGCATCCCACACTCCATGTTTGTAATGGTATAGTCCAAAAGCTTCACCTCTCAGTAAGATTTAAGCTACAGATATGGTTTGCTCTCTCATCATAAACCCAAATAAGCAACCCCTGGGCGCATCCAGATGTTCCACCTCCTGAGACTTTCAAAGAGAGGCTGAACAGCCACCCCCCATGGACAGTTTAATTGGTTTTCCTATACATTGCAGAGAGTCGAACTAGATCAGTGTTTTTAAACTTGGCAACTTTAAGATGTGTGGACTTCGACTCCCAGAAATCCCCAGCCAGCAGTTGAAGTCCACACATCTTAAAGTTGCCAAGTTTGAAAAACACCGTGTTATAATAACATTTATTTATTTATTTATTCATTCATTCATTCATTCATTCATTCATTCATTCATTCATTTGGATTTCTCCGCCGCCCCTCTCCCCCACAATAGGGGGCTCTGGGCGACTTACAAAAAACATTAAAACTATAAATACATCTAAAACACATAAAACATCCAAAATTTAAAACAATATTAAAGAAAGGAAGATCCAAGCAGATGGAAAATCAGGCTGCGGAGAGCTGGCCACTACAGGGCTAGCCATCCCCCTGCTTGAAGTATTCCCTCCCCACCCCAGGCCAAGTGGCAGAACCAAGGCCCTTCGGAAGGCGAGGAGTGAGGGGGCCAATATTAACACGTTGGGGTTTTTTTGTATTTCTTTCACTTTTTGGTTAAAGCACTTTCTATGTGGTTTTTTTCCTTTTCAATAATAAAAAAATAAATAAAAAAGTTTGAAAACCACTGGACTAGATTATCCTTGTGGGCCCTTCAACTCTATGTGCTATCAGTTCTATGATTCTACGATGTCTGTGTGCAACAAGGTCTCAGGATAATGTTTAAGACTGAGCCATTGCCACGTTCCCTTGTTTTATAAAGGCCAATCAGTAGTTTCACTTCTCAGTTTCTAGACCAGCTTTATGATTTTCTTGATAATGATGGCACATACACACCAGGCCAACCACAGCCAATTAAACAGCAACATCTATAAATATCCAGTGAACTCTCAGGACGAAGAAGAAAGAAAGAAGAAGTAGGAATAAGAGAGTTCAGCCAAGAGGGGAAAAAAAATGATGCCACACGGCAATGAGATGATACAAATATTTGGCAAGAATGTTTTCCTCACTGTCCTTACAGTTGTGCTACAAGTGCTATTTTCAAAGCGAAACTCAGGAATACTTGACCTAGACTGAATTAAATTTGATTGGAGCGCAGAGCAGAATATCTTAGTGATGTGCCTGGAGAAAGCGCATTGAGGGCACCCACCTGCATAGAAAGATGCCGTTTCAATTGCCTGTATGGAGTTGAGGCAGAAGGTGGGAGAGGCTTCCCAATTTTAAACAACCCGTAGAAAAAGTCTTCGATGCTCATTGTATCATTGTTGTGGTCGAGATTGCGAAATACTTCTTCCAGCATCTGAGAGGAAGCAAATGATTCAAGTCAGTGAAAACTAACCACTAGACTTGGAGTGCATCATGGGGGGAGGGAGTGGAGAAATCCTAATGTAGTTCAGAAAATTTGGTGCAGTTGAAATTCACCGATGCAGTCTTGGGGGATTTTGAAACCCAGAAATATGAGGCTGGGGAACAGCAGGTGGCAGCATCTGGCTAACCTCATCTAGGCTTAGAAACTAGGTAAGGTTGGTCCTGGTTAATACTTACTGTAGATGGGACACTCTCTGGGAATCCCAGGGCTGTAGGCCAGGCTGGGAAGACCCAAAACATCCCAGAAGGCAACAGTGACAAAACACTGACAAATACTGTTGCCAGGAAAACAGCACAAATGCATCCATGAACTCACTGGGAATCAAGCTGAACCTGAAAGGGGCTTTTCCTGTTTTTTAGAAGTTACTGGACTGAGTCTTAAACATACCTAAATGCGGAACATCTAGCTGACAACAGAGCTAACACGTCATATGGCTAGACCTGGATCTTGTGTTTCAGAAGGAAAGGCTCTGTAGCTTTGTTTTCATGAGAATTCTACTTTGATAAATGTTTCCACAAAATGCATAGGACCACATCTATCAGTCTCTGCAGCTTTTTGACTGTGGCAATTTTTTTTTTTTGCAATTTTTGACTGTGGCAAGGGGAGGGAGGTCACCAAATATGGGGTTGGCTAGCCCCTTAGAGGCCTGGTGTTGCTTCTATCGGCCTCCTGGATTTTTCCTCTTCCTTTTACTCTGTGTAAATGTTTTCTTATAAATTTTAACTATATATTTATTTATTGTTTTAATCTGTTGTAAGCCGCCC